GGGCCTGTGCTGAGTGCTGGGGACACAGCAAACACTAGAGCAGGGCTCCTGGGGTTCCAAGTCTCCTTGGGTCAGGCCCAAACCAGGTTTGTTCCGACTCAACCATTGTAAAACCGCCTTCATCTCCAGCTCTGACTTCAAGGGTCACCCTTCTCCAAATCACACACTGGAAAAACCACTACCCACCTTCTTCCTGAGATTGGCCCCAGCCCCTGGCCATGCCAGGCCCCCAGCCTCCAGGGCTCTTTGGAGCTCTTAAACAATGGCTGGGACTCCCTCACACCCTGGCCTCTAACATGCGCTCCCTCTCTATTTGCCCCCTGTGGACCTCCTCCTCTCCCCCCAAGTCATTCTCAAATCCCCATCTTGCTCCTCCTGTCAGAGATACACCATCTGACTCCCTCAGGGAACAGCAGAAGCAAACTGGCAACAGTCTATACAATAACAAGCCTGCTCTCTGTTAAAAGGATGCCAAAGTCAAGAGCAAATCCCCCACCCCCACCCCCCAAAAAAGGTCAGCAAGTTTCCAGATTCAACAAAGTCCAAACTTGCAGGACCTTTAAACTCTGCCCCAAGCCCACTGGGCTCCCCACCCCATGCCCCTTCCATCTCTTGCTTGGCTCTACCTCCTGTTCAAATCCTCGTGTTCTTCAAGGTCCACTGGAAGCCCTGCAGTGTATAACCAGTCCTGGGGAGCCCCCAACGTCCCCTTAAACATGAGCTCACCTTCTTCATTCACTAGAAGGACATAGGGCAGAGCTATGTGCCCATCTCTCCCATAGCCCAGCTCAGAACCCAGCCCGAGCAGTCGGCGGCAGGAAATCTCTACAGGAGAAATGTGGCACCACTTTGCTGGCAAATCAGAGGAGGCCAAACTCAAGGGGTTTGTCAGCTGCTAAGGAAGAATGTGGAGGAGAGAATGTTCCCTTGCAGGCCACAACGGTCCTGCCATCCTTGGCCTAGAAGCTGAATCTCTGCTACAAGTTGCTCGCCTGCTCCCCTCGAGCCCTGACCCGGCCCAGGCCCTGGCAGCCACCTTTCCACTGAAGCTCTGGCCGGAATCAGAAATGGCCTCGGGGGCCATGAATGCTGGGGTGCCAGCCGTGCTGGACAGCTGAGCATCGTTGCCCTCAAACTGGTTGCTGACCCCGAAGTCGGCGATCTTCACGTGCCCGTCGTCCCCCAGGAGCAGGTTAGAGGGCTT